GGATACAATCAGAGGACAACAAAGAATGCATCTTTCCAAATTCAGTTGGGCTATGTAGAAGCATAACAGAACACTGCTGCAGCAGGAACAGAATGGAGCAGTCTTCCAGCAGAGGTTTGTTAGGATCAACACAATGCATAACAAGGACTGTGACTGTGGAACCAACAGGAACTAGTTCAGCATCAATTGATTCAACTCAAGCAAGTACCCCTGTTTCAATCATTGTTCCTACTCAATCAGTTTCTAGTAGTTTTTCTAGTGGAGTTTTTACTGCATCTACCCCAAGTACTTCTGAAATTCCAACTGTGACCACAAAAATTGCCACCACCATAGTGTCTACAATCACAGACTCTATAACCATAACATCCGATAATTCTGTAATCAAGTCTCCATCAATAACTGGTACAATCATTGTACAAACTCCATCAGTTTCTAGTAGTTCTGATAGTTTTTCTAGTGGAGGTTTGACTGCTTCTACTCCTAGTACTTCTGTAATTCCAACTGTGACTACTAGTACCATTGTTTCTTCAATCACAGATTCTGTTACTGTAACATCTGATACTTTTGGAACAGCAGTTTCTGGTACAGTTATTATTCCTACCCAAACAGTTTCTAGTAATTTTATGACTGCTTCTATCACTGTATCTGTTACATCAACTGTAACTGCCTCCACTGTGTCTGCTACCACTGGAGTAATTGGTGTATCCTCTTCTGTCAGTGATGGTTCTTCTATTGTTCCCTCTTTAACACAAGCCTCTTCTACTTCTATCATTGTTGTGTGTGAGCCATCTTCAATAATGTCTCAAACAATAGCTCCAACACCTATTCCAGGTAATAATTTTTTTATTTTCATTTCAATCCTAAGTTTTTCCAAGGATCAATTATTATTAAAAATGTTTATTTTTGAAACCACATTTCAGCCATTGAACACAGTTTTCCACAAAGCATGCTAAGTAGCATATAAAACAATCAAAGTTCTATACAACTCTATGTATTAGATGGTTTATAGATTTGCAGAATTCTCTCATAGTCTTTTTTGACTTTTGAAAATTTCTAATTTCTGAAAAATGCCCTGTCACTGTAATTATGGTTTCAAAATAATCCCCAATTTTTATTACATTTTCTGATGCATAATGATGTCTTTATGCAATGTAGAACGTTTGAGCCAATTCTGAAATTAATTTTCAAGTTCATGCCATTTTAAGAAAATGCCAAATTTCTCAAAAGCCCCTGTACTAAGAACATAAAAAATTAAAAAAAAACAAGATGAAGTAGGATT